ATTGATGTTACTGTAATAATTGTGCATTTGTTCTTTTGGTTCTCCTGCGCAGGCTAATGTTGTTAGAGAAAGTTACAAACAGAATTAATTTTGCTATCTGTGGATTTATGGTGCTTACCAGAACCTTGAGGCCTTTGTCACTGCTGCTTAGTACTCCTCTTAACAAGTCATAAACAACGCTTACCAACCATCCCTTCTGTCCTGGAGACTCCAGTCTCATTATCAACCCTTTACATTTGCAGTCTTAGACTTTATTAAGAAGACTAAGGCTTTCTGAATGGAATTCCCTTAGTCGCTATCCCTTCTTCCTTTCCTGTGTTCACAGAACTGCCTTCTACCTTTTATTAGAAAAGGCTAATCTTGCCATTTTTTTAATCTTCTTTCCTCCTGCATCCTGGAATCATCCTGCTTCCATCAGTCATCCTTTCACATGCGTCTTTAATCTTTTTCTCTCCCCAGTCTTCTTCCCATCTTCCTACAGACATGCTCAGGTCTCCCTGACCTTTAAAAGGCCTTCCTTTTACCTTCCTATCGTTTATCACCAGACTGAAGATACCTCTGTTTTCTACCACCCACTCTCTCCTCCACCTTGTAAAATCCTTTCTGTTTTCTCAAAGTCCCTAAATCTACCGACACACAAATTGAAGTGCTCCTTTGTGCATTGGTCCACGTTCACAGGAATCTTAATGGTTGGAGCATTCATCTGTGCTGAAGACTTCCTTTTGGATCCTCTTTCCTTCCTAAGTGTCAGAAATATCCTAGACTTCTTTTTCCTCTTAACTCTGTGCTACTTCTCTGTATCCTTTGTTATCTTTGCCTTTTTCCCCTCGTTAGCTTCTCACATTGAATCAGTTAACAAATGCCTTCGTTTCTCTCTTTATAATCTCTCTTGCACCTGGCCTCTCCTCTCAGTGAGCCACTGATAGCTCATTACCATTTGCTTGGATTATTGCCATAGACTCCTAGATAGTCTTGCTGCCTTCCCGCTCTCCCTTCACCTACCTCGCTTTCATACCTCTGCCAGATGAATATTTTCCAGGCAGAAATCTGGTTGTGTCACTCCTCTCCTCAAAAGCCTTCAGTGGCCCCTCATTGCCTTTGCAATAAAGTTGAAATTCCTTTACCTAGCATTCAAGGTTCCCTTTCATCTGGCACCACTGTGCCTTTCCAGTCCTTATATCACATCGGCCTTCTCCACGTACTCTAGGCTGCAGCCAAAGTGGACTGCTCATTGTTCCAGAAGTATCCCCTATAGTTTGTTCAGGAAGTACCCTATAGCTTGCATGGCTTCTTTTTAATTTATTTGTTGCTTTTAAACTTTCTTTTGAGGCCCAATCCAATGCTCCGTCCTTCATGAAGGAAATCTTCCTTAATTTCCTTCACTCCAGCCATCATCCCCTTCTCCCCACCAAGGATCTTTGGACTCTTCCCCCGAAATCATCCTGAACTCTGCCAATTGAGCTTTTGTCTTATGCCTGGAAGCAGGCTTCCCTACTTCCTGGTCTCCAGCTTTAAATGTTCCCCTTCCCTCCAGCTCCCCTCTCTTTATTGTCCTTCCTCCAGTTCCCATCTTTCAATTCCCACCTGTGGTTCTGTGATTCCAGTGGGAACTCCGTGAGGGGAGAGACTATATTGCTTACTTGTATTTGTATTCCCAATGTTTGGCACAATGCCAGGCATAAAGTAAATGTCTAATAAATGCTTTATCCATCTATCTAATCACCCCATTAGATAATAAGCTCTCTCCTCATCTAGCATTTTGTTTTGCATCCCTCTAATGCACTATCAAGAGGCAGCTGGATGGCTCAGTGGATAAGGTGCTGGGCCTGGAGTCAGGAAGACCTAAGTTCAAATCTGGCCTTAGACACTTACTAGCTGTGTGACATTGGACAAGTCACTTAACCTGTTTGCCTTAATTCACTGGAGATGGAAATGGCAAATCACTCCAGCATCTTTGCCAAGGAAACCTCATGGGCAGTATGGTGCATGGAATCATCAAGAGTCAGATATGACTGAACAACAGCGTATTGTTAAGTGTTTTAAAAATTATAATTTGGTGTATGTCAAATAATTATAGAATGTAAATTCCTTGAAGGCAGAGGTCATCTGATGGATTTTTGTTCTCCCCCAAACATCTATTGCTTAGTGTTTATTGAATTGAAATAAAACATCAGATGGAAGTTCAGAGGGGAGATTGAGGCTAGATAATTAACCAACAGGTATTTCTTAAACTCCTACTATGTGCCAGTACTGGGATAACAAAACCACCAGAGTGGATGATCTTGCCAAGAGAATGAATGTGAGCGCAAAGTGGGAAATAGAGTCTTGGTGGATGCCTGCACTTAGTGAGCTGGTAGAAACATTGTCTTTAAGAAATGCTTATTGAATGAATAAATAAGGATAGTTGAATCCAACAAAAAAAAAGAGAGAAGTGATCATGGAAGCCAAAGTATAAGAAGATACCATGAAAGAGGGAGGATATGTGAAGGGATCTTAGTCTAATCTTTTCATTTTATAGCTGAGGAAAAAAAGTCCCATAGAAGCCCAAAGTTATATATATAGTGACAGAGGCAGAATTTGAACACAGGTCTTCTGATTCCAAATCCAGTGCTTTCTTCTTTGCAAGGTCAAAGAGAATGAAATCTGAGAAAAGGTCACTGGTTCTGTTCTTTAAGATGTGATCATTGTTACATGTTGAGGGAATAATTTCAGCAGAGTAGCCACAATTTAGAGAGTTGAGGAATATGGATAGGGAGAAAAATAGAAGCAAGACTTGATTGCTCTTTTTAGAAGTTTAGGCAGTGACTAGGAGGAGATAAAATCATAGCTGGAGAAGGTGACAGGGTCAAGGGAAAAATTTCTGAGAATAACATTTTCCTGACCTTATTTCCAGATTCTAGGGGTATACCCTGGTTGAGCCTTGTAGCCTTTTATATGCTGTGACTCTTCAGGTCTATAATTAGCTCTTAAAATATCTTAAATCGATGTAGGGAATGTTGGAACATGTGCAATGTCACCCAAAATACTTCCTCCATTTTTCTTGGGGTCAACTTTGTTAAGTCTTTTGGTAAGTGAAATAATATTTTCTATAGACTGGTTTTTTGTTTTATTCAAGGCTGATCATATTAAAAATTAACACTTTAAAACTGGTTCCCAAAGATTTTGTCAATACATTTTTATTTATATGGATCCTATTCTAAAATCACTCAGACTTTAGATGGAAGCTTAATTGAATTACTTGGCATCTCTACTTTATAGTCTTGTGTCTTAGTTCAGAGAAACAGCTGGCTTATTCTGTTTGAGGACATTGTGGTCAAGCTTATACCATGCATGGAAAGTCTGGCTCAGTGGATTTCCACCTCTTGCCCATAACTTCATTCTGGGTAGATATTTTCTACAAGAAAGGGAAATAACTATGCCCAGAGCAGCATTTTCTGAGGAACTTTGGAACTTTGGAATATAATGTAAAATTGATGCTTTAAATGGTTAACAATGAACAACGGGATTGTACAAACAGTCTAATAGGGCTCTAACCTCACAGCTATTTGTAGTTTGTGAGACATAAGTATTGAGTCACAGTTCCTTGGTAGTCTAGGAGTAGCTTTTTTGGAAATTAAAAGGAAATTTAGATTTTCTCATTTTAGGTGTTAAACATTTCCTTCAGGTGTCTTTCTCATGACTAGAGTTCTTTCCTCAGTTCTTTTCACCTCTGAAGGAGATTTGCATTCCGAATTCTCACTCCTCTAAACCCCACCCTGGTTGTTAGCTCTTCCCCTGGAAAATTACATTGTACTTTATATGCATTTTGAGTTACCTGTGTATATATGGTTCTCCCTACCTTCCGTTGAATATAAACTTCTGAAGGGCAGGGAATGATCGATTGTCTAATTTTTTTTTTTTGTCCTTGCCTCCTCCTTTAGGGTCAGGCACGTGGTAGATGCTTGGGAATGGCTTGTTTGATTGAATTGATAAAGTGACTTGAATTGAATAGTCAATACCCGAGGGCAGGCGTCAGATGGTGCAGTGAACAGTGCTGGACCACTTGAGGTCAAGTCCTGCCTTGTACACTAACCGGCTGTGTGACCCATGACAAGTCCCTTAACCTCTATAAAACAGGGAACTTGGCCTCTGCACATTTTCTGAATGTTTCTTTGTACAAATATGCCTAGCAGCACAGTGCCGGGTACATAGTAGCGCTTAATAAGTCATTGTTGCTTGACTGATGGAGAAGATTCGAGGTGTCAGGATGTTCTAAGTGGGGTCAGTGCCCAGCGCCGAAGTCTTCTTCTTCAGCTGCCCATTGACTTTCTGAAGCTGTTCCCCCCCCCGCCCCTCCCCCTCCCGTGCTGTTTTGGAGAGCCCCCGCCCCTGGCTTGGAGGACCCTCTGGATGGAGGCGAGCGTCCCTTGCCGGCCCCGTGTCTCCACCCTTCCCGGGTCTTGCTGGGGTGAGGTGCGCGTGCAGGTGTAGGACGAAACCACGTGACCGGTGAGGCTGATGCTCAGTGAGGCGGCCATCTTTGAGGCGGGCACACACCTCAGGTCGTCCGCCCTAGGGGCCGTGAGAGGTTGAGGGGGAGGAGGGCAAGCTCTTGCCAGCTTCCAAGATGGCTACCGCGCGTGCTAGCCACCGGCTCGCCCGCGGGCTCGACTGCAAGCCCGGGCTCGCCGTCTCCTGGAGCTGGGTAGTTGCCCTAGTCTAGGGGTGGGGAACCTGCGGCCTGGAGGCCACATGTGGCCCTCCAGGTCTCACGTGCGGCCCTTTGCCGGAATCCAAACTTCATGGAACAAATCTCCTCATAAAAGGATTTGTTCTGTAAAACTTGGACTCAGTCAAAAGGCCGCACCCAAGGACCTAGAAGGCCACATGTGGCCTCGAGGCCGCAGGTTCCCCACCCCTGCTAGTCCCTCTCCCGGCTTCCCCTCCCTGACAACCGCGGGACCGCCCCCTGCGGCCGCAGCCAATCAGCGCGCGGGGCCGGGCTCGGCGGGGGCTGGCCGGCTGGCCGGGTGGCGGGCGGGCGCGAGCGTGTGTGAGCGCCAGTCTGTGTGTGAGCGTGTGTGTGTGCGCGTCGGTGGGCTGGGGACTAGCGGCCGGCCGAGAGTGCCTGAGGACGCGGCTGCGCGGGCAGGAGCCGGGGGAGCAGCGGGCCGGCCGCGGCGGGGCGCTGCGGCGCTGGGGACCCAGGGGCAGCCATGCAGTCTGTCAGGTAGGTTTCTGAGTCGTCGGGCAGCCCGCGGGGGGCGCTTCTCGCAGGAGGGCGATCCCGATCGTGCACCCCTCCCCACGCACGGCCGGCCTGGGGCAGTCGCTGGGGACGCCGGGGCCACAAGCCCACGTGTTTGGGCTCGGGGACAAACTTCTCGAGGGGGTCAGTCCGTCTGTCTGTCCGTCCTGTCCGGGCGAAGTTGGTCGTGCGAGGCGGTCCCCCTGCCCTTGGGCTGGGACCTAGAGCCCACGGCGTGTCCGTCCCCACTCGTCGCATCCCCTTTTTAGCGGGGCGTCTAGGAGCCAAGAGTCCGGGAGCGGGAGGAGTTGGTCGGGAAGCCAGAGCTGGAAAGGATGGAGGGGGCATGTTCGGGGGGCCGCCTCTGCCGTCGCCGGCATTGCAAAATTCAGACCCTTGATCCCTGCCACTCACAGAAGTCAGAGAAGGATGGAGCTGGAAGCGATCTAGTCCATCCGACTCATTCTAGAGAAGAGGAACCGAGGCTCAGAGAAGTTATGCAACTTGCCCAAGGTGATAGAGCCAGGACTCGAACCCAGGCCTTCTCACTTCGGGAACGGTGCCCTTGCCACTGGTGCCATACGTGAGTGGATGTCTGTCAGTCTCTCTCTCTGGAAGACAGATGCTGGAAAGAAACAGATCAGCCTTCCTCCCTTTCCCCTCTTCATATGATTGCTTCTACAGAGAACAAAATAGGAGCATTGACAAGATGATTATGAACTTAGCGTATATTTACATAATGGGGACTATAAGGCTTGTCTCCTATGGTTCAAAATATGTTACTCCAAGCTGGAGTTGACTCCTGCTGTCTCTAACAGTAGGTGAGTTTCCCTCCCACTCCCAGCCCACTTCCAGTCACTGTAGCTGTGAATTCAGCTATTTATGGGGGAGAGAGGAGAGCTGGGAATGAATAGAGAGAATTTAGGCTAAGGTGGTGATCTCTTGCCAGTTTAGTTGCCAGTAGGACAAGGTTCAGTTTATAGGTGGTTAGAGGTTAAAAGTTAATTCTTAGGGAATTCAGTTCAACTAGAGTTCTGTAAACCATGCCTGAGTATTTATTTGTACATGGTGGGAAGTGGAGGAGTGGGAGTAGAATCTTGATCTTATATGCTGTAGTCACAAAGCCACCTGTCCTTGTATAAACAGGTTGAAGGCCTTTTCTGTTTAAGAATCTGATAGAATGCCTTCTGTGTAGGTGGTTGCTGTTTTCTAAAGGCTTATTTAAAAGTTGAGAACTACCCTGTTTTGACTTGTAACATTCAACAAACATTTAAGCATCTACTACATCTAAAGCACTGTACTGTCACGTTGAGGATATAAAGACAAAGCTAGACATCTCTGGCCCCTAAGGATACATCGTGTATACAGAGTAGTAAACACAAAGTGCATACAAAGTGATTTTTTGGGAGGAGGGCACCAACAAGTGGGAAGATCAGGAATGACTTTGAGTAGGAGATAGCACCTGAGCTGAAAGGATTCTAAGGAACCAGACATTGGGGGGCAAGACATTCCAAATGGGGGACACTATGTAAGTGAACAGAGGTAGGAGGCGCTGAGGATTGCAAGTAAGCCAGTTTGGCTGGACTTGATTTCATAAAGGGGTATATTGTGAAGTAAATCTGTCAAGTTAGACTCTAGCTAGATTGTAAAGTGCTTTAAATATCAAATAGTGGAGTTTTATTATGTTGTTACTTGAGAGGATAGAGTTAGGACCCTGGGCAAATAACTTAACCTTTCTGAACCTCAGTTTCCTCATGTATAAAATGAGGGGGTTGGTTCAGAAAACTTCATAGGCCCTTCCAGTTCTAAAGCTATGATCCTATGTGTTTTGATTTTTATCTTAGGGGCAGTAGGGAGTCACTGAAGCTTCTTGAGTAGGAAAATGACATGGTTGGTCAATATTTCAGAATATTAATTTGCCATCTGTGGAGAATGTATTGTGGAGCTGAAGAAGAGGAAGCAGGAAGAACAATTGGGCTGCTGTTCAGGCATCAGATGATGAGGATATGGCCATGAATTTGGTGTGGTGGCAGAAGGGGTAGAAAGGAAAGTACCAGACAAGCCAAGTAAATGCTAGAGATATCCTGGAAACAGTCCACAAGACTTGAAGAGGGACAGAGCAGGAAATCAGGGTCACTCCAGAGCAGTGAACCTGGTTACTGACTGGGGAGTAGAACCCTTTACAGAAATGGGGAAGTTAGGAGGAGGGCTAGTTTTAGGGGGAAATTTAGGGACACGTTGATGAGAAACAGCCTACCCCTTGAGGAGCTTACGTTTTACTTATTATGAAAGCTTCCATGTCCAAAGTTTTTATTCTTCCAATTTTAGGTGTCTCATTTTTATGTATGATTACCCTACAGTGATAGTCAGAATTTTAGCTCAGAAAGGGTGTATAGTTCATATAGTGATAGATTTTAAGCTGGATGGGACCCTCAAAGGTCTTCTTGTTCAATCTCTTCATTTTACAGGTGAAGAAACTGAAGCTCAGGCATAGTGGTAAGGAGAGCTGAGATTTGAACTTGAGCCCTTGACTCTAAATCCAGCACTACTTACTCTGTGTAATTTTCACCACCTGCCATGGTTTGGAAAAGTTCATTTTGTGAAGTCTCCAGAGATATTCAGAAGACAATCTTTTCTGTAATCATTTAAAGTCTAGTTCCACAGCAGATCCACTGGTGGCTTCTTAATCTTCCTTCCTGGTATTGAAGCATGAACTCCAATTAAGCTAGTTGGCCTTTGAAAAGTGTAATTATAGGCTGCACTTAAATTTTATAAACCGTATTTGGGGAAAGATTAGCCTATATTCAGATGAACACAGAATAATAAATATATGCCCCCCCCCTTTTCTAATCCTCAGAGTACCTGTTGCTTGGGAAGGAAGTTAAAGATGAGAAATTTTTAATGGCTGAGCAAGCATTCTTTGATAACTGTTTTAGGAATTGTATCTTGATCATGTCATAAAATGTCACATTTCACAGTAAGGATTGAATTTTAGAGCATTTTCTTACATGTGAGAAGCACATTTTTTTCTAGAGCATTTTCTTATTTTAAAAAAGACCAATTTACCATTGTTTAAAAAAAGTCAGTGATTTGCAACAACAATAATATATGTATTCCTTGTATATAGTAAATACCAACTGTGTAGATGGGAGAGGTAGAGCTCTCTAGGCATCAGCTCTGGGAGTCATGCCATGATTCCCTAATGGAGAAAGCAAGTTGATGCCTAGAGACAAGTGGGAGCCCTGGTTCACCTTATCTGATATTCTTGACGACATGCTTGACCTCTCCCCTTATTTTGAATTTCCAAATGCTTGTCATTGTATCATAGATTTACAACTTTAGAGGTTATCTAGTTCAGTCAGCCCCCTTGTTTTGCAAATCAGGTGAGGAAGCCTAGTCTAAGTTACTGGTTTAAGGACATGTGGGTAGTAACTAGTGGATGGGTGATTGAATCAGATCCTCTGACTAAATGCACTGTTCTTTCCGCTGTGTCAGCACAGTGTTTAAAAAAATTCTCTCACACTTTAATGGATTTAACTTAAAATTCTTAATTTTTGTTACTCTGTGTGTATGTATGTATGTATGTGTGTGTATGTGTGTATTCTACTTCATCTGATAGTTATTAGAGGAAAGTCTAAAATCACAAACTTTAAAATTAATTATCCTTCAAGAATCACTGTTTCATCCCCTGTCGTTAACGTATATCGTATCCTGTCAGTGTCTTTAGGAATCCTAGCAAACAACTGTTTATGGAATTGATGCTGCTGTTCTCGTTTGGCAGGGCAAAGTCAGACTAGAGAAAATCTGTGCACAAAAGGACCCTGAATATTCCTTTGTTACCCTAACTCTGTTTTGTAGGCTAGTATGGCTTTATGTTTGGAAGGGCTGTGGAAATTGGGAAATTGGAAATATTTTCTTTGATCAAGTGTGGCCCTGGTGCTCCATTTAGTTATGTGTTAGGGCAGGGCCAAAAGTAATCTTTGATCTGAGATATTCTAGACTCAAGACCTTATGCATAAAAGTTGAGCTAGATGAATCCCTGTCCCTTTCTCTTTTTCCACCAGTACCCTGGTTTAGCTGTCAGTCAGCATTAGGCTATTCTGCAAGAGTATGAATTGGTTGTTAAGCCTTGATGACAGCACTGATGTTGATTAACAGGTCAACCAGTAAGTAGACAGGAAACAAATCTGTCCTCCTCCCTTTCTCTTCTACTGATTCAACACTAGCTTAGGGTCCCTGGCAGATGTCTGAGGGAGCATAGTATGGGCTGTTCCAAAAACCCTCAAACAGAATACCACTAATTAGTGTCACTCTCACCACTTCGGAAGGAATTGGGTGGGGATAGACTCCCAGCTGAGGCCCAGGCATCTCCAAAGGGGACAGTTCCTTACAAATGCCCCACTGTGATTAGGGTGCTGTCTGGTATGGACTCTAACCTTCATGTTGATTCTACTTGGTAAGCTCAGGATGGTGGAAGATGTGGTTAACATCAGACTAGACTTTGCAGTTACTCAAAGTTCCTGGGTCCTGGCCACATCCACATCTTCAGCTGTGCCTAATTTGCAAGGTTTCTTTGGGTAGATGGGTGTGGTGCTATTGACTGGAGTAAAGACTTCAGGAAATCGGAAAATAAGACTGAATAATGAATGAACTGCCATTTATATTCTTTAACATTTGCAGAGTACTTTATGTTGATTATCTCTTTGAGCCTTCCCGGGTCCCTGAGAGGTAGGATCTCCCGGTGGTATTAACTCTATTTTTCAGGTGAGAAAATTGAATTTCAAAGAGGCTAGGTAATTTGACCATGATTACATTGTTATGTGTCTGAGGCGGGATTCTAAGCCAAGTGCATTGACTCCTGAGCCTACCACTCCATACCGAATTTCCTCTCTAGCTGAAATAGCCTCCTTGTGATAGGCAGACTTTTGAAATTTGGGACTTTCAAACTATATTAGAATATTTCTGTAATGGGTCTTTGTGTC